CAAATTTTTACATGTATTTAATAACGCCGACGATTTCGGGCAGAATTACTGAACGATTTGGCGCTAAATGGATCACAAGTATCACAATTATGACATCGGGTGCTATACTCGCACTCATACCCACAGCTGCTTACTATAGTGTCAACTTGCTGATTGCCCTGTTAGTGATCCAGGTATGTTAATATGCACTAGGTGATTATTTTTTATAAAATATATAATTATAAAATGTAATATGCCCAGGGTCTGTTTCACGGCTGTGTATTCGCATCACTCTTCTCGCTATACGCCCACTGGTTTACTCCGATGGAACGCACGTATGCCATATCGGGAATAGCAGCAGGGTCCAATTTTGGTAATCTGGTCACATTCCCATTGGCCGGTTATTTGGCCGAAAATGGTTTCGCCGACGGCTGGCCGTCCATATTCTACGTGGTGTTTATGGCACACATCCCGTGGTTTATACTATGGGTGCTATGCGTCCAAAATACACCCCTCGATAGCAATCGCTCGGCACTAATTCGGTGCTCCGATAGTGAGCTTAATTATATTAAAAACAATACTAATTCATTCGGAGCGCCAAAAGTTAGTTGACATTTACGGTATTAATTTTGATTTATATTTAATTGAAATCCTATTTTATATGTTAATAGAGATCGTCGACCGCTCCCTGGCTTCAGATATTAACATCTAGATGTGTTTGGGCGTCCATTATATGGAAAATAGCCGCCGGTTGGGGCTATTATTTGCTATTATCNCTGGCTTCAGATATTAACATCTAGATGTGTTTGGGCGTCCATTATATGGAAAATAGCCGCCGGTTGGGGCTATTATTTGCTATTATCCAAAATGCCATCTTATTTAGACAAGGTGAGTAAATGAGTTGATAATATGTTGTATCCATTTATTAATGTAAAATAGGTGTTTGGTATACCAATCATTCAAAATGGTCTGTTCAACGCCATGACATCGCTGGCCACAGGCGTAACAATGGCCGTATGCGGTCCCCTATCGGCGTATGTCATCCGTAAGTCATCGGCGAAACTGTCGAAAACAGCGGTCAGAAAGATATTCGCGACGACGGCTCTGATGGGACCGGCGGTGTGTCTGACAATCATCACAGCCATCGGGTGTGACTCGACATCAGTGATAGCTCTACTCATTACAGCCCTATTTTTCTACGGCTTTATGACTGGCGGCGAGTTCTCTATGATTAGTGAATACGCGCCCGACTTCTCGGGAACCGTCTTTGGTATAGCGGCCACACTATCCGTGTTTCCGGCATTTCTGGCCCCATATGTTGTCGGACTCATACTCGACGATAGTGTCAGTTGTTTTTTGTATTGTTTTATGTAATATTTTTTTAATAGTTATGTTTGTTTTAATAGCCAAACGATATAAGCCGTTGGAATGTTGTGTTTTATATAACAATAGGCGTCTATATATTGGGAACCGTTGTGTTTTTGGTCTTTGCGTCGGCCGAACCCCAGCCCTGGGGTCTCATCGATAAAGTCAACAATTTGTCAAATGATGAACAAGTGTTTGAAAATATTGATAAATCTAGAAATACTGTCAAAGAGACGGCCAATCAATTGTGCAAATCTATGCAAACGTAACATTTATTAATTGATAGTCTGTTTAATGATTATAATTTTGTAAATTACTGTAAAGTATATGAAATTTTATACAAATATATCGGGTTTAATGCAAAAGTATAATTAATTTATGGTATATATGGCGAACAATATCTCAAAGTATTCATCTCGGTCAGTGCCATTGAGAAAAACGATTGCGATAAAACCAACACAAATGCAATGTTTAAATTCTCGTCATAGGAGAATCGTTTCAGTTGTCGTCTACCGTTTTCAGTGGACACCATTGGCTGAAACGAGGGTATGAGTCGACACCGGGGGTTACAGTCGCCCACCTCTTCAAAGCTGTGCGAAAAGGCGTCAAAATGTTTGGACAAAAAGTGCGGAAAGAATTGCAGTTTCAGGGCGTATGGCATTCGTCGGACGGCCAGAGGGACGACCGTCTCGTTGCGGATCTTTTGTAGGATTGCGGCGATTATTTGGTCGGGAATAGAGCACAGGTCACCAAAACCCACGTGATGTACGTCCAGTACGGGTGTCGAGTAGTAAATGAGTTGTTCGGTACGCAAGTCGCCGCCAAAGTATACCTGGCCAGTAGCTTGGTCAATTGAGGGAACTGTACCCCAGTCCAGCGGTGTGGCGTATTTTGGGTTTTGGAGCTGCTTTTTCATCCACATTACGTTCATCTGGTAGTTGTGCCACAAATAAAACTGTATACTGTTTGGCATAGTATTAATAAAATGATTTATGACCAAGGCGAATTTGTTTGATTGTTTGAATGGCAATTGAAAACACATGTACTAACTCGAAGGGCGCCGTATCGACGCTCATGTGTCCCCTATAGCCGCCAAATGCCAAATGTGTGTTGAAATGTAGGCCCGACTCGTAAAAGTTGCCCAAAACAAAGTCTTTGCTCAATTGAAGCCACATTGTGTTCAACTCTAAGCCGTCAATGGGAGGTATGGCTCCGTCGGGTGTCCACTGCCGGCGCACGCATTGCGTTGCGTTCAGCTTCTCATACAGGGGTCCGTCTGTCACGCAATAGGCGTTGGAATGAAAGCCATGTCTTCCCAGATATCGCCACACCATTGACTTTTCGGGTCTACTGGCGTCCAACTGAGCGTTCTGTACGTTATGAGTATGTGTTAGTAAATTGCGAAAACATAAATTAACCTGTTAAGTTACATAATACGGTATTGTTATGCCAGGACTCAATTGTTGCATTTGTTTTTCCAACTCGTTGACAAAATATCGATGCCATGGACCCAATTGTGCCGTCTTATGCACTTCCGCCCAATACCGGGAGTGAATGTCCGCCAATCTGGACATTACTCCCGACTCGTATAGCAAACGAATAACGCGAATAAATTCAATTCTCTCCCCATCTGTCATGCATTTGAAGTCTTTTCTAACAAATATTTGTGAGCATGGTGCTTTTGTTGGCTTTAATGGTGTTTGTAGCATAAAGTTTTGTAACCACACTCTAGCATCGTTCAATTCCTGGTCTGTGAACTCAGCTTGGTGATTACATCGCTCAAATATATTACGCTCGCATTCATCTGTTAATGAGTGATAATTATATGTCTATTATATGTATATTTATTTTACCAGAATATTCTGTAGAAATAAGTCCGATGTTTATAATTACTATTAAACCATAGATTGTGAACATTATCTCAACATTAACTTTAAATGATATTTTTATTGTTCAAACAATTTTTATCTAAACAAAAAATTGAGAACATTTGATGAATATTTTGTGGACCAGTGATTGTGCACAACAATAGTAGTCCACAAATGTTTTACTACACGATTTAGTACATACTCTAATACTGTATATGCATTTTTGTTGATAATGTCAATAATAATGATAAATACTTCAACAGATTTATTTTTATTTAAAACTTAATAATAAGTTTCCTAATTTTACTACATATACTCACATAAAAATTTTAAAACTTTTAAAAACATATTTTTAAGTTTTTTACATGGTAAAATATTCGTTCACCATAGATTAAATATAATCAAGGATAGGTTCAATGATCTGTAATTTATTATTAAAATAAAAACCTTTTGCATTTTAGACGTAAAAATAATTTTTCTAATTGAGCCAACATAGTGATTTAGAAAAATAACAAATATGTCAAAATTAATATTAATATTTTTATTTATGATAAATATTGATAAAATATATGGTAATGATTATAGATTATTAATGAGTAAAATGATAAGGAATTTAAATTACCATATATTGTTGTTTTATTTATTTAATAAGTTCAATATAATTTAATAATAAATAAGTTAAGTTGTTTAATTAAATTTAATTTAAATCAATAGGACAGTCAACAAACCAATGCTCGCAAAGCATTCACACGGGCTGTTCGACGGCCTACAACCCAACGCCGGCAGAGGTGGACAGAGCGCGGCTGTATATACAGAACAAGTTCATGACAGAGGCCTCAGTCCGGCCAACACAGCCTCCCTGTCCGCGACTATATGTGCGCCGAAACTTCAAATGCATGTCTCATAGCGAGCGGACGCGTGTGATCGCTGTCCTGCAGGTGCTCTACGCCAATGGGTTTATGTGGAACCTTGCTCAAATACACGCCAAGTGTTGGGTCATCTGGCATAAGTCGGTTGAGGGCCCCGTCGCTCATCGATGGCTTATGAACAAACTGGAGCTCGAGATGCTCAAGATTGACCCTGGTGTTACGTTACCATATTGGGTATTTAGTGATTATTGTTTATAATATTAATTAATAATATTAATTATTAAATTGATTGTATGTTAAATATAACGCGGAAACGTTATATTTATAACTATTATGTATTAACTTTTGCATTGCATCTATTTTTTGAGATTACGTCTGAAGATTGCGTTAACCCTCAAGAGTCACTTATATGGCAGTATTTCGGCACCACTGGAACCAATGCTACCAACTATTGCATACCCGACGGTCCGTTTACAGCCCAGACGACGAACCGGTGCATTAAGCGCCAGTGGCCGAGCGATGGTGTGGTCAAGCCCTGGACGTGCCCTGAGTTGGAACAGTTTTACCTAAATATAAGCACTTCTATCATTATTTTTTACTTCTTTACTTTGGGTCAACACTTTCACCAACACTTAAATATGGGCGGTTGGGCCGGACATTACAGCGAAGCACACGCTCCATATGAGTCTGTATTCATTTCATTATTAGAGAGAGAGAGA